AGTTTTTGCGGCATATTTTTGGACACACCCGCTATCACAATAGTAATTTTTTTCTGCTAGTACTGTCATTGCGTTGAAATTGGGCTGCAAAAGTGAATGTGACTCGACTTCAAGATGCATGATTAGGCACTTAAAACGTTTGGGAAAAGCTTTTAGTACATCTGACTCTGTTTCTAGGTGTACCTGGAAAAAATTCCGGACGTAATAAAAAGATAGCATGCTGTTTAGAAAAATATTTGAACCAAAATAAAAAAATGTTCTATCTCTCAATTTGACATGAAATATTTTCAATTATTAAAAATTACCCAGAATTGCAGCGGACAACGGTAAAGCGGTCGACGGTTAACCGCTGTCAAAATTAAAACTCACAAAGGCTTATGGAATGTCTCCTAATTGCAGCGGCAGCGTTTGTACCGCCGATATTTTTCGGTTGATTTAAATTTATTTCTATTTCTACAGTAGTAATATTTTATTATTTTCACAAGTTTTCCAATCTTTTCATCCATTTATATTTGCTGCAAATCGAGTAACATATACGCTCGTACACATGATTCAATAATGAATCATGCTCGTACAGAAAAAATATTTAATTTTAATGATAATTTTCAAAACAAAATTTCAACTGACGGAAGCCGCCGTGCGCCGCAATTGTGTTTTCTCTGACAGATTTCACTGCGGCAATTGTTCAGCACAAGGCGAATTTATATAAGGTGGTGTTACTAGCTCAGCTGATTTTGTGTATGTGTTTCGCCGCACGGCTTCTGATATCAAATTGAAAAATTTTGTTTGAATTTCTACACACACTCTTACAGATTTTGACAGTTTATGCCGCCAAAGCAAAAACAAAATACATGTAAATTTTTGTTTTTGTACTCCTGCTATCACCTTATATTAATTCGCATTGGTTCAGCAGTTCACTTACCGCAGACCGCTTTACCGTCGTCCGCTGTAATTCTGGGTAGATCTTAAGGATTACTTCACAGTACCGGCTATCAATTTTGAGAAAACCTTGCAATTCTTAATCACTGTGTAACAAAGACGACAGGACCAATTTTCAGGAATTAGATAAAGAGAAAGATAGATGCTATGTGTGGATGACGATGATCCTCAAAGTTCCAGTCAGACAACAACGGTTAAACGACAACGTTTGGACACTTGAACATAATTGAATAAGGTAGAGAAGAAATTCAATTAAGTATACTTCCTGCGGTTCACTTGTTCTACAATTAATCAATTCCTTTTACGTTTGTTCTCCAGCTGATAGGTGATTGCATGCTGTTGCCATTATTACCAGATAATGACGATCCTCCAGAGATCAAGCGACTCCTTAAGTCAACTTTTCATGAGTATAATATTTCTATTTCAATATATTGTTTTATTATTTAAGAACCCCTGGTTTAGCGGAGGCCAAGTAAGAGGAATGGCTAGTTCAGGTAGGTTAATCTATGACCTGATTGAGGACATTCCCCGCGTCGCCTTTTTGATTAACGACAACCTCAATAATACACCTCTTACTCCTTTTATTTCCACGGACCTCTCAGTGGCTGTACTAGAGGTGTGGCCGGTGGGGGTGCAGGAAATTGTCCTCGCATCCGCCTACTTCTCAGGTGACATACCATTATACCACAATTGAAGGTACAGCAGCTCGTAAATTATTGGTTGCGATGCGAATGCCCACCACACTGTGTAGACCAGCTCCAATTTCAACGAAAGGGGTGAGTACCCTTTAGGATATCTTTTACAAAATAACATATTTAGAATTTGCGAACAGGGGTTGCATATCTACAATTATTACTGCCGTCAGGAAGGAGGTACTAGATCTCACTCTCTGCATCAGATAAATTTTAAATTGGCAAGTCTCGGAAGAAGCATCGTTCTCGGATCATCAGCACATAGTCTTCAAGATCCCAGGGCGATCTGAGCTCCGCAGCTGGACATTCCAGCCTAGGAAAACCCTTTTAAAAGCCCCACTGACTCAATCGCGCTCTGTTTGAATCCTTCCATGACAGTACATTTACTAGTTCTACCTTGATGAAACGCAAAATTCCCTGGTGGAACGGGGAACTGGATGCAAAGCAGAAGACTTTTCGGAAGCTGTTCAACAAGGCCAAAAGGACGCATCAGAGGGAAAGAGTATAAGGCTTCCTTCACTGACTGTTACATACTTATTAGATGCTCGAATAGGGATTCATGTAGGCGGCAATGTGAGACAAGAGTGATGTTGCCTGAAGCCTGCCGTCTGCATAAGATTTTATAATAAGAGTCTTCCAATCGGATAGGTCCTTTAAGGAGGAAAGATGGCACCTTTACGAACGATAACAGACAGACTCTAAATCATCGGATGACCCCTATCTCCTCGGAGCACGGGTTCTCTAAAGTGAGGAGTCACAACAGATCTGGCATCTTCTTTGACAGGGACAAGGTACGGTCGGCGGTGGAGTCTTTCGAACCATTCAAAGCAGAGGGTGGGTGATGGGATCTTCCCAGCACTACTATAAAGAAGTATCAAGGTCATCATTTATTATGTATATTTAGGGCTAGTTATTGCTGGGAATACATACCGTATGTGTGGGGGAAAGTGTCCGTTTTATTTATTTCGAAATCGGGCAACATGCCCCTTGACTTCATGCATACTATTAGCCTAACTTCCTTGACTCTCAAAACTTAAGCGAGACTTTTAGACCTCCGTATTAGGGAGAAACTTAACACTTCCATTATCTTACATCAAACAGTACCGACAGTATCTGCTTAGTAGGATCGAAAGCCTTAGAGGCCAAGGAGATGGCTTAGGGTACCTTCTTTCGATAATACTGCCTATGGATCTATCTCAAGAAATTGGCGTAAAGAGACTTAGACCCTACTAATGTTGGTTGGATAGACGCTATGCTTCGTGAGCGTGAAAT